TGCATTTTTAGGTTATTTTCTACCTTTTATCATAAAAATGGCAATGCCTTCAATTCCTGCAGTACCGCATACAATTATGTTATTAAACAGGCCTAATTAACAATAATTAACACATACTCTGCAATACATGAGTAATTAAGCACAGTTATAATTTGTTACAGTCAAATAACTACCTAATCTACAAATGTTACCTATATTTTTCTCCAAAGGAATTGCCAAAGTAATCTGTCTCTGGCAGTGAATAGCACAGAGGTCTATTGTGCCTGTACAATGCTATAATTATAATAATTTAGCAAAATTGCGAGATGATTATTTTCAAATTTAGATTTGCTTGTGGGAAGTCCTTTAGAATTGAAAGGGATTGTCTATGTCAACTATAAATAGCATCATACAATCTCAGAGTTTGGATTAATCAGCTGTTTTCCATATTTGATGTGATTTATTGAATTAAAGATCTGCTAACGTTTGCCGTGCTTCTCTGCTCAAACATTAGCACAGCTACAATTTGATGTGATTGCAACACAATACACTACAAATTAAAATTTTCACGTTGCCTTTCGCAGTCGTCCCAAAGCGCTTGACAATAATGATTTGGCACCCGAGCTGAAGCTAGGGTTGTTGGGGAAAGATGACTGAAAGCGCAGTCAAACACTCTTTTAGACTTTGGAATTCAATGTTTCTGCAGCGATTAATTATTAGCAGTGTCACAGTAAATGTTCAGTTGAATATGAATGTAATATTTAAATTAATAGTATTAAAATTCATATTCCCTTTTTTCATGTTTCAGCAGCAGTGAATTAAAACAAAGTATTTACCAAATGGTACGATCGAAAGACGTGCTGATGTCATAACAATCTTTGCATTTGATACAGCATCTTATCACATCGTTCAGACGTCCCAGTCACTTCGCAGGAATTCACTGTGAAGTCCGAAGACTTTTGTGTGCAATGCAAGCAGCCAATTTGCGTACAGCAACGTCCCACACACAGCCGATGAAGTGAATGACCAATTTTATCTGGCGGAGACTTCTTTCTGTTTTTTGAATAGCATTGCAGGAATTTTTACATCTACCTGAACTGCCACACAAGAGATCTCAGTTTAATGTCTGATCTGAAAGATTGCACCTCCCACACAGTAGCATCCCACTAGCACTGCAGCATTGAGCGTCAGCCTAGATAACAGAGCAGAATATTTAGCAAAAGTCATTGAATACTGAGAAAAAACAAGTAGTGGAAAACAGTACTAAACTGGTAAAGATTGTAAAAATCTGTTGATCGCGTAGGTCGCAGGAAGAGAAACAATAAATTGGTCTTTATAAACCAATCAATATAAATCCCAGGAAATATAAATCCATTGCAGCTACGCTTGCAACCAAAGGATCCAATATGGAATGTAGATTTTAGTATTATTATACTTTATATTATTATATTTAATATTATATTATACTTTATATAACGATAGGCAATCCCCCCAAAAAATATACATTCCCCCAGCAAGACCTTTCTGATGAGGTATAAATCATGTCTCTCTGTCAATCGGTGATTACATTATGGTGGACAGACAGACAGACATTTGGTGTTTATTAGTATAGAATGTATATATCTAGAAGGGTGTTTGATTTTCTCTGTTGCTGCTATGTTGCAGAATATATTCGTACAGATGTATCTCTCTAGAGGCGTGATTTCCTCGGTTACTATTTTGTTGCATGTATACCTCATATTTTGGGGCTTAATCAAAGCATTTTTTAAATATAGCTCATCAAACATAGATGCCCCCACCCAAAATATGCCCATGACACTCCCCAAATATGCCATGACACTCCCCCAGGCAAGAACTTTCTGATGAGGTATAAGTCATGTCTCTACGTCAATTGGTTATTGCGTTATTGGTGGACATACAGACACACACTCAGTCATTTCATCTTTATTAGTATATATATTATATATATAGAGAGAGAGTGACATTGGGGATAGAGGAAAGGATTCAGAGAAGTGAACAAAAGTAATAATAATAATCCTTGCTTTTGATACAGTGCCTTTCACGTCAGGCGTCTCAGAGCGCTTCACAGGATTCACTGCAGAGTGCACTTGTAGGCGAATGCCGCAGCTGATGTGCGCGCAGACAATGTCCCACACACGGTCGTGAAGTGAATGATCGATTTTGTCCAGAGGTTTGAGGTCTCCTCCGCCTCTGCCGACTCAGTTATGCGGAAGGACTCCCAACGCCTGAAAAAATTTTCATAATTGATTCTTCTTGATTGGAATGAAATCTTGAGACTTATTCAAAAGAAACTTGTAAAAATCCTGCCACTTGCCACAGGCTTGTGTAAGTCATGGAGTTCAGGGCACTTTAAAAGGACTAAGCCCTATTAAACCACAACAGAGCTGCTTGAGGATATGTACACTTTTGTTTTACGTGGGGGGCGGGGGGGGGGGGGAGCGGGTGGAGATAGGAGGAAAGGAGTGGGTGGCACTATTTTTCCCCAAATAGCTTCAAATATGACAATCCAATTAAGGGTAAACCAAATCTAGACCCTGGAATAAAATAATTAAATTGGAACGTGTTTTAATCAACTCTGGATTACTCTCACGTCAGCTCCAGCAGGTCCCCGATGCACCTGCTCGCTCGGAGAAATTCATCTCCGCACTTCCTCCCGAATGTTAAAGCAAAATGAATGCAAATTCGGGTTCGCTCATTGAACAGCGCGACAAATACCCGCCACGTGACAATCAGCGATGCACGACCTTCGCATCGCCACACTCAAATTGGCTAACCTCAACGGTTCAGAGGGCACCCGCGCTACTGTCGTTCCAATTCTCAGGTGGCGATTGTTTTGTTTTCACACCCTCCCACATTATAATGAGGTGCCTTGTTTACTGTGCAGTGAACGTCTCATGTGAGGATTAATTGGATACAAGAAATAATTATTGGGAGCCAAGGTCCATTGGGGCAGCCTCCTGTTTGGAGGTGGAACGCTGGCGGAATTTTTTATTTTAAATAAGCCTCAAGAATTAAAGAGGAAGAGGAAAGGCGAGATTTAAGTCTTTTTTTAAAAAGAATACTAACAACTTGCATTTTGACCGCAGCTTTCTTGCGAAAGAACAACATCTCAGAGGGCTTTGCAGTGGTGTGGAGGGATGGCAAGGCTGGGAAAAGGGTGGTGGGTGGGGGGAGAGAGAGAAAAGAGGGAGATGACCATAGGTACGGTCGAAGAGGTAGATTTTATGGTGGTTTAATGCAAACAAGAAACTGGGTTCCTCGTCAAATACTCTACAGTAAACTCCTGATAACTCAATCATGGCTTAACTTGTCACTACCACTTAAATCATCATACAGCCGCATTTATACGTAACTCTTAACTCAGAACTTCTGATAACTCGTCACTGAGCTGCTTTCCCTTGGAGTGCCGATCTATCAGTTTACTGTACATCACCATAAAAACAGTTATTGCACTTCCCAGTAAATTCTGTGAAGCACTTTGGGACATCCTTCCCAACACGAAAGGCGCTAGACCAAATGTAAGGGTTATTTAGTTTTAATAATAACTATGAAACTGAACTCAAGGCTGCTGTATTGTTTCAAAATGCAGTTCTATGTTACTTTTGGGCATAATTTTTTAAAAAGAGAACCATATCTTGCAGTGGTTATAAGATCTGAAGTTATGCTTCAAGTTAGCTTTGTGCGGAAATTATGCAACAACTCCGTTTCAAAAAAGATTATCAAATATAAAACAATAATTTATTCTCATCTTTTACAAGACATCGAAAGTGTGTAACTATCTCAGGTATTCGTTAAAATGGTATTAGTTGAAATACATCCAAAGTCTAACAAAGAGCACAACTGCCAACTACAATGGGGCTGTCACAATTACAGTCTGGTTTTGTATAAACAAATAGTTATTTACAAGCAAAGATAACCGTTCTAATGCACTGCATTGTATTTTGCAAGTAGCAAGAAAGGCGCTTGCCAGCAACGCTGCTTAAATGCAAACGTGTTCAGGTAATGTTACAAAGATCTTTCCTGCAGCTGAAAACGGATGAAGATGTCAGTCAGCAAGTTACATGTGGAACGAGGAGAAGTTAGAAAATACGTTTTTTTTTGTATAAATACATAAACGACTGAAGATTTCTGTACCGTCCAGGCAAATGGCAATTTATATCTAAAAACAGGAGCAAAAGAGTCTCGATTTCGTACAAAATATCACCAGGGACTAAAGTCTGTTGATATGTATTCGCATTTTCCAAAAGTTAAGAACTTGTCGTCCAAAGCGGTGTCCAGGGGGTGAGTGCTTATGAAAAGTGGCAATAATTTTCATTTTGGTGGTCAAAAATGACTACTGTATTGAATGCTTTCTGAATAATAATAATAATAACTCTTTCATTGGCACCTTGACCAGCTCTCGAGTGTTTTTTATATATTTACAGAAGAGGGAGGCGGGGGTGGGGGGGGGAAATGCCACATTTAACGAGGCTAGATTTGGTTTTCTACCCTAAATTGGTAGTATTAATTTACTGTGTAGGTGGGGGAGAGGAGGTAAGGTGGGGGGGAGGGGGGGGGGAATAAGGTAGAGGAGAAAGGGGGGTGTAAGGGAGACGGGGTAAGGTAGAAGGGGGTAAGGTAGGAGAGAGGGAGGGGGGGGGTAAGGTAGGGGAGATGGGAGTGGGGAGTAAGATAGGGGAGCGGGAGGGTGGGGGGTAAGGTAGGAGAGAGGGGGTAAGATGGGTGGGGGGGGTAAGGCAAGGGAGAGGGGGGTACGATGGGGGGAGAGGGGGGTAAGATAGGGGAGAGGGGCGGTGAGATTAAGATAGGGGAGAGGGGCTAAGATGGGGGGGGGAGGGGTAAGGCAGGGGAGCGTGGGGTAAGATGGGGGGGTGGGTAAGTTAGGGGAGAGGGGCGGTGGGGGTTAAGATAGGGGGAGAAGGGGGGGGTAAGGTAGGGAGAGGGGATTAAGATAGGGGAGGGGGGGGGTAAGGTAGAGGAGTGTGTGTGTGTGTGGGGGTGTGTGTGTGTGGGGGTGAGATGGGGGGGTACAGCAGTTGCCCTCACACGGTGGTGACCGACAGCAGGGAGTTGTAGACCCTGGAGCCGTCGGGCGACTTGGTGCCGTGAGTCAGCAGCTCCTGGATGGTCATCCAGTTGTCGAAGACCTTCTTGTTCCTCTTCCTCATCATCTTCCTGTGGCTCAGCTCCAGGATGGTCACCTCCCTCTTGTCCTGGGAGGGGGGTGGTGGTGGGGGTGGGGGCTGCTGCTGCTGCTGCTGCTCCCCCCCCCCGACCCCCACCCACCCCCACCCGGGCCTCCCCCGCCCCCGCCCCCCCTGACGCAGCCCAGGCCGCTCCTGACCATCAGCTCCCGGCGCCGCCTCTGCTCGCGGGCCCTGACCAGCTGCCGCTTGCGCTCCTCTTTGCTCCAGTAGCGGCCCGTCTTGAGCTCGCTGGCCGCGTCGTCGTCGGTGGTGAGGCCCCGGCGCTCCTCCCGGATCCGCATGGCCCGCTCCCGCAGCAGCCGGTCCCGGGCCGGCCGCTTGGTGATGTAGCGGGTCCCGTCGCTCCTCACCTTCACCTTCCACTCGGCGGCCTTGATGGCGGCGGCGGCCGAGGCCGAGGCCGTGGCCGTGGCCGTGGTGGTAGGCCCCGACCCGGACCCCGGCCTCAGTTCGTCCCTCTCCCCGCTCTCCAGGCTGGCCTGGCTCTGGGCGTACTCCTCCACCGCCGACCGCTGCTGCACCAGCTGCATGTAGCTGCGGTAATGCTGGGCGTGGGCCGGGATGTGAGCGTGGCGGCGGGACGGGGAGTGGTGGTGGTGCTGCTGCTGGTGGTGGTGGTGGTGGCGGCGCTGCTGCTGCTGCTGGCGACGTCGGCCGCCGCCGTTACCAGAGCCCGGGGTCGGGCCTAGGCCTACTAGGCCTGTGCCCGGGGAGCCGTGTAGCTGTGTAGCTGCCGGTCTCAGGCCTTCATCTCCCGCTTCCTCCTCCTCCTCTTCACCCCCCACCACCACCACCACCTCCTCCTCTCCCTCCTCCTCCTCCTCCTCGACCACCGGCTCCTCTTGTAGGTTGCAGTCAACGTCGTCGACAGCGGCGACGGCGGCTTCCCCCCCTCCCCGAGGCCTAGTCCGCCGCCTCCCCCTCCGCCGCGGTCTCGCAGCAGAGAGCTATCCGGCGACAGCTCGAGCGTGAGCGGCGTGCTGCTGCTGCGGGGGCACTCGCTGTCGCCCGTGTTGTAGGCGCTCGAGCTGTCCCTGTCGGAGCGGAGCTCGGGCAGCTCGGTGATGTCGGACAGCTCGTGCTGCTGCTGCTGCTGCTGCTGAGGGTGGTGGTGGTGGTGGTGGTTCTGCCGCCCGCGTCCCAACCCGAGCCCCAGGCCCAAGCCGAGCGTCAGGCCCAGCGCCTCGGCGCTGGTGTTGTAGTTCCGGAAGCCGCCGCCGTCGTGGAGCATCCAGGCCGGGGCGGCGGGGCCCGGGCTCGGGCCTCGGGCCTGGCTTTGGCCTTGAGCCTCGGCCTCGCTCACGTGCCGGGCCCGGCCGTGGGCCCTCGCCACGCTCAGGCACTCCAGCTCGATGCTGCGCAGCTCCTCGTTCAGCAGCTCGAGCTCCCGCTCTCTCTCCTCGGCCTCCTCCACCCCGACCCCCACCCCCACCTCCTCGGCCCCGGCCGCCGCCGCCTCCTCCTCCTCCTCCAACCCCTCATCCTCCCGGTCGCTCCCGCTCCACAGGCCGCAGCCGCCCCTCGCCCTGGCCCGGCACTTGAGCTCCAGCAGTTGGCGGAAACGCTCGCACTCATCGTCGGCCGGAAGGCCCAGGAAGGCGGCGTCGAAGGAGTCGAGGAGCAGCGGGTCCTGACTCTGCTGCTGCTGCTGCTGATGGTGATGGTGGTGAAGGTACTGGTGGTGGTGGTGGTGGTGGTGGTTGTGGCCACACGACGGCACAGGCCTCGGCCTCCTCCTCCCGACCCCGGTCTCGCACGAGCCCCCGGGCCCCAGGCCGTGCTCCTCGCCCGGGTTCTCCTGCTCCGAGCTCTCGTCGTTCCTGGTGCTCTCGTCCGTGCGGCCCAACCCGCTGTCCTTCTCGTGTTGGTTGCTCAGGATGGTGGCCGTGTCTGTGGTCACCTCGTCTTCCTCGTGCTTTTTCTGTGGGATATATGTATACGTAGAGGCATTATATATGTTATATATATATATGTGTGTATATATATATATATATACGTATATGTTATGTGTGTGTTTGGCCCACAAAATACACAGTCACTACACTTGACGGTAATTATTAATAATAATAATAATCCTCGGGTTTGATGCAGCGCCCGATCACGGCTTCGAGACGCCTCGAAGCCCTATGCGGCGCAAAGACGGCAACGGTGTCGCGCTTACAGAGCGCCTTTCGCGTCGGGAGGACGTCCCCCCCCCAAAGCGCTGAAAAGATTTGAGGATTGACTATTATCTGTAGAATATTCATCCGAGACCCCCCTCAAAACACCCGATCGCCCGCTGTGTCAAAACGCAAGGATTATTATTATTATTATTATTCTTAAGTGCTAATATTGAGGCGAAAGAGCCCCAAAAGGTGTGCGCGGGTGTCTGTCCAGCGCCTTGGGACGTCCTCCCGACGTGAAAGGCGCTATACAAATGTAATGTTGTTGTTGTTGTTGTTTTGTGTGCGCGCGCGCGTGTGTGGTCGGCCGGGTGTCTGGCACATGCGGAAAACCATCACCCTGTTTTAAAGAGTGGTCAAACCAAACGGGCTTCCCGTGCATCCCACCGACATACGCAGTCATTCCCTAACCTAACCAAAATAAAACAACAAGAAGTGTATACATGTGATTAGTGCCTTTCACGTCGGGAGGACGTCCCAAGGCGCTGGACAGTGTACAGCATTTCAGGCCCGAGCTGGGGTTGGGGGTGGGGATGGATGGCCGATGGCATGGTCGAAGAGGAGGATCTTGAAGCGGGACTTGAAGGAGGCTAAGGAGGGGGCGAGGCGGAGTGATTGGGGAATGGAATTCCAGAGGTTGGGGGCAGAGTGGCTGAAGGCTCTCCCGCCAATGGTGGGGCGGGTGGGTCGGGGGACGTGAAGCAGCCAGAGCCGGCTGAGCGGAGGGAACGGGCGGGTTGGTAGGGGGTTAGGAGGTCGCAGAGGTAGGGTGGGGCGAGGCCATGGAGGGCTTTGTATGTGGGGACCAGGATCTTGAACTGGATCCTCTGAAGGATCCAGTTCAAGAAATAATAATGCACACAGTGATGTTTCATGTAGCCCGAAGGGTGGAGTGCATGATTTCCAGGCTTTCATAGAGCAGCATTCCCATCGTAAAAAATGGACTGTCATGCGGGAAGCTAAATGAGATTCTTATTTATTTTCATCCTTGCCACTTCCATCTTCGCACTGTATTAGCGCCGAGCTCTGATTAAGTCAGATGTTTCTCTTGTGCTGCTGTTACTCCTCGGATCTGAGCAATAAGCAGCCCAGATAGGAGGAACAAATTTTTACCAAGGAGAAATATGCTCATAAAGCGTTTTCGCCAGGTACGGAAGAAATAATGAGATTTGTGTTCTCTAGTTTCTGGCCCGTTTTAGCTGCTCTTGTTGAGAAGCTCTGGAAACGCTCCTCGGTGTCAGCCTGGCTCAGCTGGTAGCACTCTAGCCTGAGTCAGAAGGTTGTGGGTCCAAGTCCCACGTTGGGATTTTGAGCTCACAAACGTGGCAGAAATGAAGTGCTGGAAGGGAGAGAATCACTGCTCTGTTGGTGGCTTCCGAGTGAGACAATAAAATCTAGGTCTGGTATCCTGGCTAACAAACCCCCAGAAGAATAAAATTGGTCACTTCACTTCATGTGGAACTTTACTGTGAGCAAACTAACAGTGACTACAGTTTGCAGCAATTTGTGTGAAGCATTTTGAGATGTCTCAACATGATAAGGCGTTGGCTCAAATGCAAGTTATTATTGCAGTGTCGGTTTTTAGTTCCTGAGTGCCATTCGGGTGAAAGACCGGCAGCAGACATGTATTTATTGGGGGGACAGAATGGATTGTACTCAGGAGAAAAGGTATCAAATTATTACAGATTAATTTAAGTTTTATATTTGATCATCAGAAAAAGTATTTTCTTTTCCCTCGTTCAGACACTGACCTGAATCTTTTTGCATTTTATAAGAAAAAATGTGCATTACTCCGGCATTCAAGGGCTGCCTTTTAATCTTTGCTCTTTCATTGCTGGGATAAATAGTTTTCCGTTTGCAGCTATTGAGGAGAGAGTTGCAAATATAATCAAACCTGTCAAAGGTGTTAGAAAATGCACCCATCTCTTGCATTTGATCAGTTCACTGTGCTTTGGGCTCAGTCAAGTGTTGTGCAGATTTAGGTTCAGCTGCTTGTTAAACTATTGGCGCTTATACTGGAGTCACTCATTGGGAGCTCAAATAGTGCCATGTGTCCACCTTTTCAGTCATTTGAAAATAAAATTAATAACCAGTCGAATCCTTGCATTTGACACAGTGCCTTTCACGCTGGGAGGATGTCTCCTTGCACTTCAGAGGATCTGCTGTAAAGCTCAGTGGCTGTGTATTTTGTAGCACAACGGTGTCCCACAAACAGCCAAGAAGTGAATGACCAATTTTATAGGTGGGCATTGTTGGCCAGAGGAGATATGATAAAAGTACTCACTTGAAAGTGGTAGAGGTTGATCATTCAGTTAAAAGAATTTGATGTCTCACATAAGCACAGTTTACAGGGGGTATAACACATCGGAACAAGGATCAGTGCTTGTCTTTGTGTCAGACAGATACAGCACTGCTGTTTTTTCCCCATCTTTGGGCTCTCACTGAAGAGATAATGACTGAATAAAATGCGGCTTTGAAACGAGTCGCCGTGAAATTTTCCCCATTCAAAATCTGCACCCAGTAAGAAAAATTACAAGCTGATTACCTGCTGAAGGATGCCAGCTGTAAATTGCATCGCCTGGTGGTGCTGCTCTTCCAACATATCCATGTGTAAATCATCCAGGAAATCATTTCGGTCGTCATCCATCCAGCCTTCGTCCAACTTGGCATCATTAAAAAAAACACAAACACCATCAAGTAAAATAAAAACGCCCTTCAGACATTTGCATTCCGATGAGAACCAAATTGAGGGTGTTTTTTTTTTTTTGCTTCTACAATTCAGATCCTAATCGGCAACGCTGGGTGACACATTAATGGATCCAGACTCCAAACTTGCATTTCAAAGCATGTGGAAACGAGTCCCGAGGGGGGATCATTATACACGTCTTTCATTGTTCTACATTATCACCACTAATCCCAGCTATTAAACCAGTTGTACCTCTGTTTAGACCCCTCATTAAAACTGGATTAAAAAAAACACAATAGTTAATAAACGAAAAGAACCTCAAGAGTAAATATAAATCGGGACGTATTATTTTGTTCCTGTCATGGGGTAAGAGTATAACAATAATTCATGAATATTACCCATTAAATTGTAGCAATTTATAGCGCTCGATAGCACCCAGTTTTATCGTACTTTAATAGGTTTTTATCTGGTTTACTGCGAGTCTAACTCCTGTATGCGGCGAGAAATTAAGAAGGTGAGTTGCGATCTGCAGTGGTGTTTATGCCCTATGACTCCAGGGCTCCGTTTAAAACTTATTGGGAAAAGCATTACATTGTGAAACCCTGAAGGCCTCGGAACAAGAGGATGTGGGGTTCAAACGAGTTTAAAGGTGAGAAGAAATGTTTCCCGCATCCCCTTTCCCACGCGCACACAGCAACGACTACAATGAACAGACTCCAGGGGAAAGCACCGAATGCTGCGTTGATCATTCCAAAAAGAAGCAAATAACTCTGAGAATGGAATTGGGAGTGTAATAATTGATCACAAAAATAGTTCTTGCATTTGATATAGCACCTCATGTCGTCGGAGACATCTCAAAGCAGCTGTCCCCAGTGTTAGCAAGGGGCAGAAGTTCGAAATGCCAAACTTGAATTCGGGGATTGAGCGAGAAGGTATAACTCAGTGTTTTGTGGCTCTGCCGCTGGGTCCCAGCAGTCTCGTTGTGCGATGTTCCAGTCAAGACAACTGCTGCCAATTTCGGCACGTTATTGCTATCATAACCTCAGCAGGCTGAAAGGAATTAAAAAGCAGCCCCCGCTGGATGCCGCGATGATTTATTTGCAATATCACTTTTTACGGCTGCACCTAGCTCAGCGTCGCAAACGCTCCAGAAATGCATCCAATTCCTCACTTTAAATTCACAACCGCAACCATCCCTATAAAAGCGCACGGTTATTTTTTCAGGAGAAAAAATTAATGCAAATTGATCTCGTTGAAAGATATCGTTTAATTGACACGGTTTTTTTTTTTGCTCATCATTCTTCCTTTGTATCTGCGGCAGCAGCTGTTGTGAGAAAAAAATCACGAGCCGTTCGGAAGACTGATGTTGCGATATTAAGAATCGCAGCGCGGATCGACTGCGTGGTGCTGAGTGTTGGCATCGTGGGTCATCTAATTTCTGGGACAATACGAGGGTTTTGTTTTCTTTCTTTGCAACCTGAATTCGTCAAATTAAAAACAATTCCAATCGAGAAGCTGAAATATTGTATGTCCCAATGGTCTTCGATTTTTAAGTGATCGTGAGAATATTGTGGTGCGAAACAAAAAAAACAAAGCAAGCAGAAATCGCCTCTGCCCCCTCAGTCCTATTCCGCCTCGAGGCCAGCCGATTAGGCTGTCTGGTGCATTCCACGCACATCCACCCGGACGTTAAGCAAATTGTTAGAGATGCAAGAAGATTTTAGTTTAATAGAAGCTTCACCAAAAGTAGGGTGTAACACTTGAGATAAATAAGCTCATGGTAATGAAGAAACTGGAGGTATCAGCCTGGCTCAGTTGGTAGCATTCTTGCCTCAACTGAGTCAGAAGGTTGTGGGTTCAAGCCCTATGTTGGGGTTCTGAATTCACAACCTCATTGTGTTAGGTGCCGTCCTTCAGATGAGACATTAAAACCGAGGTCCCATCTGCTTGTTCAGGTGAACTTTGAAGATCCCATGGCACTACTCGAAAAGAGAAAGGAGTTTCTCCCGGTATCCTGGCTATCAATCCTCCAGATAAAATCGGTCATTCACTTTGGGCTGTTTGCGTGGGACATTGCTGTGTGCATATTGGCTGCTGCCTACAAAATAAGAGTTACTGCACTTCACAGTAAAATCCTGTTTGGTAGTGAGACAAAGTGGTAAGACGCTATATCAAACACAAGGATTATTACTATTATTATGAACTGAAAAGCAAGTTGAATGGAAATGATTGGAAAGACCGAAACCAAGCAGGAAAATCTGACACTCTAGAAGAGAACAATTCAGCTTGTGGCATCAGTAGACATTGTTTGAAAAAACGATACGCTCCAAACCCAAACTGTAACTAGCGAGAGAGTGTTTTGTTTTAAAGCTTCATATATATCCTGCTTGAGAATAAAAATTCCCATTTGTTCCACTCCAGATGCTTGTGGAGACTTGCCGCATCATGTCTACTGTCTGGAAAAGATCCATTGGTAACAATTCTCCCAACACTGGCTGACACTGAGAGACACTCAGGGTAATGGTCAAGCTGGAAAGAGCTACTGTGATAATGGGGCAGGACAGTCTTTCTCCTCTGAGGAATCGCAGCGCTTATTCGCAACACATTTGCACTTGCACTGGAAAGGAATTTAACGATAATAATCCTTGCATTTGATATAGCGCCTTATCACGTCGTTGAGATGTCTCAAAGCGCTTCACAGAATATACTGTAAAGTGGATAACTTTTTGTAGGCGAAATGCAGCAGCACATCGGTGTCCCACAAACAATGGTGTCAGACCTAAGTGGCCATATTGCAGTTTGTCGTTCACGGGGAAGAGGAATGTGTGACAGACAGTGTCTAGTGAGCATCAATTCTAAGACCTGGAAGGGGTTTCCAAGCTGATGCAAGAGCCTGTGATTGTGCAGGAGAGCACTGCGGACTACTCCGATGTGAATCAATAATAATAATAATATTAATTAATAATCTTAGCAGATGAGGAACGGTAGATAGGCAAGGAACAAGGTTGATGGGAAGAAAAGGCATGATGAAGCATAATGCGTCTCCAAAAAAATCTACACAGTAGAAAGCCACAGTAGAAAGGATCTTACCATCCTCTCTTCACAGCATCAAGCTGTCTTTTTTACTTAAAAAGATTATTATTAAAAAAAACAGTCCAATGTCCTTGCCTCAATCTCCTAGCTAATTACCTTCTGGGTAAAGAAAATCTTCATGGTGTGTCTCCTGAAATTGTCCTTTGCAACTCTAAACCCCATGTCCTCCATTCTGTGGTCTCGGTAAAGTACAGTTGTAGGTTTTCATTTTTGAATCCCATTTAAAACCACACACCTCTTTGAGATTCCCCCTGAGACATCTCTAAAGACTGAGAATGATCTGTTTTTATGCTCCCCTTTTTTTCCGACTGTTAACAGCACTCAGTCCTCTTGAGTGTTTCAGCCCATTACCTTCCACTCAAATTCACCCCTTTGATATGTAACTGATTGTTGGGTTGTAATTTTTTGTAGATATATATATTATTCCCTCAATAAACTCTCATCACCTGTATCCTTCAATGGGCAGTATTTTCAGTGCGCTCATTATAATGAATGAGGCACAGATTACACACAGAGTTAGCAATGCACGCACGGACACCAGGGGAATCATTACAATGCAGCAATCGAATCAAGGAATTCAAATTATGCCCCAGAGCTTCAGAGCAAAGCCCAAATGGTTTACAATCGTAATGCAAACCTCTCCTCTCCTCAAGTGCCTTGTAAGCACTCCACTACATTTTTTTTACTTCAAATATTTCTACTGTTTTCCCTGTAAGCTAGTGGCTGCTCCCATCAAGGGTGTGGGTCTTAATGGACACAATTCTAATGGGCGCTGACTGGTCTTCAGAACCTGGCCCTAAAGGCCATTCTTCAGAGGTGACCCTAAAATTGGTCGATGACTTCACCACTGTTTGCGGGACCTCAGTGTGTACAAATAGGCTGCTGCCTTCGCGCACAAAATACACAGTGACTGCACTTTACAGTAAATCCCATGAAGCGCTTTGAGACAACCTCCCGCAGTGAAAAGGTGCTGTACCAAATGCAAGGATTATTATTATTATTGCTGATGTAGTAGTTAGCAAGCTATCAGTATATATTACATATGCTCAGATAAAACAAATTTATCTGCAATCAAACTTGCTTGATTGGAGCAAGTGAGTTTTAAGCTACATCGACAAAGTACAAACAGATGTCTCGAAGACGTAATATCAAATGATTGTTTGGTTGTAATTTTTTGTATATATATATTCCCTCAATAAACTCTCATCACCTGTATCCTTCAATGTCCAATTGTATATAAAGTTCAATTGGTCACCCGGGCAAAAAAAATCTCTCACCTGGATCTCTGGTCGGGCAAGAAGCAGCGAGACATTTTTGTTCTCCTCGCTGGTAAGGAGAGCCACGGCTTCTTCACGGTTCTGGACCTCGATCCCATTTATCTATGAAAGACAAGTAACCACAGATTAATGTACTGAGAATTAGTGGGGCCTCTCCGATTAGAAGCAGTTAAGTGGCAGCAATCAGCAATCAAACCGTAAAAAGCCTATTTGACAAATATCATTAATTTGTGTTGAATCAGAAGACCTGGCACGCAGGCCTTGATTCAAATGGAGAGAAATGTGGGCTGCGGTCTGTTGAGCTATTAAAACCATTTAAAAAGAGGTTTAAGTCGCAAACTAAAACCCACACAGATAAATTATTAGCTGGACCAAGGTAGATTTGTTTACATTCCAAACTTTCGCCCACAAAATATACAGTCAGTTCACTTTAAGGTGAATTGACTACAGTGAATTCTGGTCCCCATATTATAGAAGGGATGTAGAGGCACTGGAGAGGGTGCAAAGGAGATTCACAAGGATGATCCCAGAACTGAGCGATTATTCCTACCAGGAAAGGCTGAACATGCTTGGACTCTTCTCTTGATTGAGGTCTTTAAAATTATGAAAGGTTGGGCCGAATGGCCTGTTTCTGTGTTGTATATTCTAATGTATTCTAATGTATACACTATATCCTGTGAAGCGCTTTGAGAAGTCTCAACCACGTGATGAGGCGCTGTATCAAAGGCAAGTATTAATATTATTATAAAAATAATGTATTCTGCCAAGTAAATGTCAAATAATTAAAGTCATGATGTTGGCTATCTACTGTGTGGATTATTTTGGACGCATTATGCTTCAACATGTCGTTTCTTCCCATCAACCTTGTTCCTTGCCTACCTACCATTCCTCAGCTGCTAAGATTATTGTTATTGATCATTATTATTAATTCACTTCGGAGCAGTCTGCAGTGCTCTCCTGCACAATCACAGGCCCTAACATTAGCGTGGAAACTCTAATGATGTTAAAAAAAAATCTTAGGTTACGTTAATGCTTAAAAGGTGTCACAATCATGCTAAAATAACTGTAGAAACAATGTGCTTTACTTATCAAACCTCCCAAATAACCCATTGCGAGATTGAAACAGCATCAAAGAGGCAATGCTTTGTAAATGCCAGATAAAGAACTGGATGAGGACTCTCTTAAAAAGAATAACCACAGACTAGCTTGGTGCACCGAATCTAGAACACTTTGGAAGCTCACACAGATACAGACATTAGCACAGTATTTGCTTTACCTGAACTATTCGATCGCCTTCTCTTATCCGACCATCTTTTGCTGCAATGCTGTTCGGATCAATCTGAAAAATGAAAGGCAATAGCATTAGCATTGGGATTATTTCCCCCCTTACTCAACACCTCTCTAATGTCCTGCCCAACACACACCCTAACTAGCCTGAGAGTGTGGCTGACTCGCTCCTCAAATCCGTGTTAATGTTCCTCCGTGACTAGCTGGCTGCACACCACAATAGTCCACAGCATCTTTCCCTGAGGGTTTTCACTCCTATTGGGAAGCACCAATAGTTTGGATGAAGAAGGCCCTTTGGCCCATCTGATGTCATCCTTCCAGAATGCCTGCCCTACTGTCCTCCCATCACAGCATCAAACTGCCTTTGTTTTTAAAAAAATGCGTCCCAGTGTCCTGGTCTCAACCACCCTCCTTGCTAACCTGTTCCAGTTGTTAATTACACTCTGGGTAAAGAAATCGCCCGTTGCAACTCTCAACCAATGCCCTCTGGTTCTAAAGTCGTGGTGCTTCGTAAAGTGTTGCTCTGAAGACTCGTGTGAACTCACGCCCTAGTGCTGAAAACAGGCCTTTGAGACAAAGGATTCTTTCAAATAGTTTCTTTCGCTGAAAAAAATGCATTCGTGAAAAACAGCAGAACAGGGCAAATAACAGAACCCCCAAACCTCTCAAAACAAAAAGATTGAAGGATACTTTTGGTCAGACTGAACTGAATGACCACAACCTCTCCACCTTTGTCAGCTCTCTTTCAGAGTACTTCAGATCCCTCTTTCAAACATTTACTAATAATCTTTGCATTTGATATAGCGCCTTATCACGTCTTCGAGACGTCTCAAAGCGCTTTACAGGATATACTGTAAAATGAACTGACTGTGTATTTTGTGGGAGAAACAGGGCAGCCAATTGCGCACAGCAGCGTCCCCACAAACAGTCGTGGTTTGAGTAACCAAATCATTATTGGGTTTTTTTCTTGAGGGATTATTATCAGGCGTGTGGAGTAAGGAAACTTGCCCAAGGACTCAAACCAGGTCTCTCGCTTGAGAGGCGAGTGCTCTAATCACTGAGTTACAGGGCTCCACTTGCAATTGCAGTTGCATTTGACAGGCAATTACATGCAAGGAAATATTGGAAAACTATTTCTATAACTATTTCTATTATCTGTCGCCAAAAGATAGAAAGATAAGGGGATGAGTGCGTCAGAAACTTTTCGCTGAAAGGAGCAAAAGAAGGACAAGCTTACATTAGGACAATGACGACAATTATAAGGAATGAATAGATATGATTACTAATTACGTTTCAGGCTTCACTTGAGTTAGGGACTTCCCCTGAAGCTCTGGAAAGCACATTTCCCTTTTTTTTAACGACGATGGCGACGAAGGTTTCTTACCTCACTCACGTATATTCCCAGATCATCTTCATCATCTGTCCTGTAACATACTGTGAGGCCCAGCTTGTCTTGACTGCTTGTTCTGAACAAGTCCACTTCCTAGTCAGATGGAGAACAGATGGTTTAGAATGCACGGGTTGCTTTCCGCATCTCACGTAAAACCGGACTGGGAACCCCAATCCAAAAATCACACTACAGAAGTATTTAATTCCAGTAGAAGAGTCTCACAAAACAAACCTTTGCCCCCACACATATTAATAACAACAATTTGCATTCATACAGTGCCCTTCACGTGCTGTGGCTTCTGAGTGCTTAACGTCAAAGCCGGGAAGAAAGCAGAGATGACCGTAAGGCACTGTCGAAGAGGATAGTCTTGATTATGGTATTAATTTGAAGATAATCTACATGCTCCGGTTCTGACTGACATTCCAATAACAAGAGCTGTCAAAGGCCCTTTGAAGAAATTTCTCGTTACCGACCGCCACTCACTTAGATATCCTAACCTTGTCGCAGGATAGAAGTGCCCTTATTTATTCGCCAGCCCAGACGGCAAGTTTTGCAAGCTCTCTCTCTCTCTCTCGCTTTAAAGATAAGTGTGCCATAAATGGTATTCTGACCTCACATTTAAAGCGAGTGACCATATTCGAGAGCGAAAGGATAAACCTCTTTGAAATGGAAAGGATTTCATTTGCTTAACTGGCTTACCATCCTATATACCTCAGGCCTACAGAACACATTAACCTTTAAAGGAAGAGTTCAACTTTAAGCAATCTGTTAGGATTCGAACTTTAGATATTACCAATTTTAATATTCCGTGAATATTTTTTTTAAACACACGCATTGCGAATTCAGCATTTCCTTTTATATTTTCAAAAAGTATCTATGCTTCGTCAGCATTTTAAAACCTTTGCCTTGAATTTGTGTTTATAAAAAGCACATACTGTACTTGAAGGTTTCAATTCAGCGAGTTATTAAAACTTCTTCGGTTTTATTTCTCTCTGTATTTTTCTGGATCACAAACTGGAAGCCGTTTCATCAATAGCGATGTGTCCTTTCCAATTTGGGATCAATTTTACACACAAGCCCCATAATCAATTTAGACCGCCTGCCGTTTATCACAAATCTCTCTCTTGCGGTCTTGACAGTTTTCCTGCGCTGATGTGGAGTGGGTGAGAGATGGGGGCACAGAAAAACAAACAACAAACAGTGTTAATGACCCGGTAGGGTTTGCAGAAATAGATCGGAAGACTGGTGAGCTGGGGATTACATTAAACTGCGAGACTTTCTGTTGCTTTAACGTAAAAATGTGTATAATTAAAACCCCGTTCTGTACTGACGTTGTCAGACTATAACAGGCAATACAACGATTGCCAACAGTTGCCCTGTACGAAATGATCCATCGACCGTTTAAAACCCACAGCTGCGCGCAATTAGCTGCTGCGTTTCGCCCGCGAAATATACAGTCAATTCCCTTTATGGTATATTCTGTGAAGGCGCCTTGAGGCATCTTTACGATGTGTTAAGGCGCTACATTACATGCAAGGAATATTAATATCATTATAGTTGCTGTGACTGCGGTTGACTGGATGGAAGGTGAGTGCTCTACTGTCTGCGTCCTTCCTAATGACGCTTGGATGAAAGCTGGCTGCATCACAAAGTGCCGAAGAGCTATTAAGCAAATTGAACGTAGCACTATTTATTGACAGCCTCCGTACGACAGCTGCTGGATGGAGGCAGACAGACCAACATTCTTTGCTGTCGCGTTTGTCAACATGTGTAATTCGCTAAGTAACACAGCAACGACATTTACGTCGGTCAACTCACTTTACCACATATTCCGTGAAGCGCTTTGAGATGTCTCGAAGACGTGACAAAGCGCTATATTAAATGCAAGGATTATTATCATTATTATTATTATCTCTGTCGCCTTTTTTTTTAAAAGGCAGCTCAATCAGAACTATCTTTTCATAAGACTCCATGAAAACGGAAGAGAAAGAATGCGGGAAATGAAAGGAACTGCAAAGCAAGCTTTTTTTTTTGCATCAAATGCACAGAAGAAAACATGGTTGTTCGTGCAAGTTTAGATGGTGTCGGGGGTGGGGGAGGTGGGACAGACGCCGTTTCATTTGAGCAATAAAATAGCAAATATTACTCATTGCTCGAGGCTTGTCGGGATGTGATTTTGCCATCAATCAATCTTTGGCAGGGTCACAGTGCCACACAGTTAGCTCTCCAACACACACTAAGAGTGCTTCCAAGAACGCAGCTAACATGACACATACTGCTTTCAGCAATACCTGAAGTCTGTTTAATAGCTGGCTGTGCAGGTTGCAGCCCGGCTCAATCATTAGTCACTCAATCCACCACTGTTCGTGGGGACGCCGATGTACGCAATTGGCTGCCGCGTTTCGCCCACAAAACATCCAGTCAATTCACTTTACAGTATATGCTGCAAAGCGCTTTGAGACGTCTCGAAGACGTGATAAGGCGCTGTATCAAACGCAAGGATTATCATTCATATTATTAGCGTGTTCGCCTGAGAGTCAGAAAGCTGAGGGAGGGGAGGTGTGGTGTGGGGGGGGCGGGGGAGATTTCCGTATTGACGGAAATTAAGGATTTTATGTTTTCAAAGCTGCAACGGGAATTGACTTGATGTAGGAAAAAAAGAATTAACATCCTGCTCCCTTTCTAAAAGCTCAGCCCAGCGGGGTTTGAGGAACGCAAATGGGGGGGGGGGGCGGGGAATTATTTTATATACGCCAACTGGATGCGTGCGGTTGCAGTAGAAATGAGAAAAGAAAAAAGTTATGATGGACTGTAGCCCTTGGCAACAGAACCAGTAGTAGGTGCTGATGCGTGAAGGAAATACATGCTCGATCCCTGAATTAATGTAATTAAGACTAACTATAGTTTTATAGGAAGAGGGGAAAACGAGAGAGTCTAAAAACACACAGCTACAGTGTAGGTTTGCACTAAGCTGGTCTTTCGAAATAAGACATCCCTCAAAAATACACGAGCTGATCTTGACACTGCGCACACGGTTAAATTCCAAGCACGTTCCATCTGTGTTGGATGAAGCCCCATAGGCTGACTTGATGTTTTTCTTTCAGAGTTCCGACATTTCCATTACAGTAAATGGAACAAGCGTCTCAGAGGTCTGTTAGAGAGCATTTATCAACGCGCTACAAAAATCAACAGAGAGGTAGTGGGGCTCTGCTTTGTTAATGCTTTGACCCGCTCATTGATCTCAGTCTTCACAATTTGAACAAGGTTCTTTAGCGTCTCGAGACATATTGTCAGGGCATCGGGTTTCCCAATGCTCAGCAGCCTGTGTCAATGGACTGGTCACCTTATGGCACCACACTGTACATCAAAGTCACCATTATTAATGCTTTTGGCTTGCACTATCGCAAAGAGCTTTGGCACTTTAAATCTGATCATTTTCTGAACGTGTCACCTTAATGTCAGAATTTAAATAGGAATTGTAACAATCTCTCGGATGTTTTCCATCAGTACTTTGCACTTTGTTGATTGCGGGAAGCTAATTGACCCCAGAATAAATATGTGCGATTCCTTTCAGCAAATTGCCAATGCAACCCCAAACATTGATGGCTTACAATATGAACAATCCTTGCATTCGATAAAGCGTCTTATTACATCGTCAATATACCTCAAAGCACAGGATTTACCATAAAGTGTAGTGACTGTGTATTTGTAAGAAAATATGACAGCCAACACCAGGAGAAACTCCCTTTCTCTTTTCGAACAGAGCCGTGGGATCTTTAACGTCCACCTGAACAGGCAGAGACAGGACTTCGGTTTAACATCACATCAGAGGATGATAAGCTGCTTCAGAAAACAGGCGGCTTTAAGACACTGATAGAGAGAAAAAATATGCATAAGGTTTCAAAGTCTAAAACTGACCTCGTATTCTAATTCTTCTCTATCAACTTCAGGATGCATTCCTTCCAAGTAGTCATTGGGATCATAATAATCATGTACTGATGGATGCCTGAAACACAAAGAAAACTATGTTGATAAACCGGCCATTATTTTCCAAAGGACAAATCGGGTTTTAATGTCACAGCGATTCACTGTAATTTGAACGTCAAAAAAAAACCGCATCCAGTTATCAAATCGAGCCACTATTATGCTGGGCTTGTAACTCCAGAGTCACTTAATGTCTTTAAATAAAGTAGAAGGAATTCAACTGGTGCAATCTTTGTCTGTTTGCATTAAGACTTAATTGGCTCAGCAGAAGCACAGTAAAGAAACATCTGCTACCATTTCTTCTGCATGTAATACACTGCCTATAATGCACCTCTGCCTCTCTAAACCTTACTGCGTTAGCCCCCACCCCAAACACACACACACTCCCCAACCCATGCAAATACCATCTAGCTTGTGTCCCAACAACCAACAATATTGTGAATTTAAAAAATTCCGTCAATGCTTTTCCAATACGACTTGCACTGCACCAATGCTACAGTGATCTGGTGTCTTTACTGGTGTAAGAGAAACGCCACAACAGTAAAAATACAAGGCAGTGTAATGCCCACCGCCCAGGGTACAGGTACGTTCTGACAGTCTCAACACAGACAAAAGCCACCAAGCTTCAGATCCACCCAGGTCTCAGGAAATCATTTGTCCACTGGATCCTCGGGCAACGTCTCAGGCAAGTCATCTTTACTTCATCCAGAGTGCAGTTCTGCTGTATTCCCTACGATTACAACCTTTACAAATCCTCTTGAGAAAAACTTTTGAGCGTTAAGAGATTTTACAGACACTCGAACACACCTTACTGTATCTATCCCTCCTCATTCCTACTCTGGCACTCAAGGGCTTGAGAGGTCCAGGAGTCAAACAGATCTGACGGCAACTTCGAACGGCTTATTAACTACTACACTCAGCAGCTGAAGCAGCTTGGTAAGCCACCCGTGGAATCTGACTCAGCGCATTGAACACTTTCCAGCCTTGTGGGTTTGTATGGTGTCCGCATCCCAAAAAAAGAGCCACGGTATTGAGCAACCCTTCCCTGCCCCGATGCCAGATCTTGTCAGTCACCTATTCAATCATCAAGTCTCCGGTCACACAACCCCTTTGCTCTACACTCGTCAATAACAATGAAGAGTAATTTCTCTCCCCCTCCAGTCACCATTCAAAAAGAACAACCATCAGCCTTCCTGCTTCCTCGGCTACATGGGGCCAAGACGAGCGAGAGATTGATCTGTTCACAGTCGCTTGCAATCACTGTTACGCACCCTTTCACTTGATGGGTTGGAACTTTACCCACGTTTTCTACACACTGAAGACTGACTCCCTATTGCTTTGCCCAAGGTCAGCCTTCCGCAGACACTGAGTTGCAGTGTCTAGTCGAGTGCTGTAAATGTGAATCATGTAATATCCTTGGCGATCACCTATCAACCAACGCCAAACTGCCATCACTGTAAATAGTGGCACTGTATAGAATGACCGTCACCGCAAATCTACATTATAGCAGGGTTCACCTATGCACAAGACGTTTTAAAGTACATCAGTACAGCCACCTAATCAAGTAAAAGTTCAACCTCTTACACTTACCACGGCTTAACGTGACGAAATAAGTCGGCACAAAAACTGACTATTGAATGGAATGGATGTGGGCCTTACGGACTTATGGATGAGCTGCTCAGGAAACATTTCAATACCAATCGTTACTTGGTTCAAAGATGTGTGTTTCTTTTTGCTCTGTCCTGTATTTCCCCTACCTACCTACCTACCTCTCTCTCTCTCTCTCTTTCTCTCTGCCCCCTTTCCAGGAGAATTGACCAATTGTAGGGCTTTTTTAAGTGAAGTATGAGAGACGTGCAGTAGAAAACATTTCAAAGTGAAACGGATATTTCTCGAAGGAGAAATGCACTGGGTCTGGAAGCAGCCTCTGCGTGTGGCGGGGGCAGAAGCAACCAAAAAGATTACGACGTAAATTAGCGGCTAAGTGTAATAATAAAGGTTAGTATCACAGGATACCTCAGGGGCTTTGGGAATGAATTCTGATCGCTTCCCGGCTGAGCTGTACTGACAGCAGTTTGTGCCCTATGTAAATTGAGGTGCAGATGGTAATTAAAGTAAACAGCAGCGCCTGCAAACTGGCAAACTGACTGCCTGATATGAGACATGGCGCAGCTTCAAACTCAAACGGACGCTTGGTTCCTTTTCGATGCGCTCGTTTTGATTAAAAGGAAATGCACAAATCGTTTCGCATTTCGGATTCGGGACTCCTTGTCTCAATCCTTCTCCATCGCCCACAAAATATACAGTCAATTCACTTTACGGTATATTCTGTGAAGGGCTTTGAGACATCTTGAAGACGTGATAAGGCACTATATCAAATGCAAGGATTATTATTATTATTATTATCTCTCCTCCACAACACCCCCCCACCCATCTATCTTTAAATCCCACTTTAAGATCTCCTTTTCGACCCATGTCTATGATGTCCATGATCACCTCCCCTATCCCTTGCTTGCCGTCTGACTCTGACACTGTCCAGTGCCTCATGTTGCGCTATCCTGAGTGAAGGACAAGTTATCGTAGGTTCACCAGAAAAACACAGAGGCACAGACACAGGCAGCTTACTCTTCGGGCAAAAGGTATTGGTCCAGTATTGCAATGGGTGGAGTAGGTGACCTCATTTTAGCCAATGCCATGATGTGCTCGAAGGTGATATCAGTCTGGGTGCCTGTATCGATCAGGTGCGAGTCGTGAGGAGGATTCAGCACTTTAGCGTTCGGAGTTCTCCTCAGCACCTGCACCACGATGGGTTCTTTGGCTGTTCGGAACGCCTCCACCGCTTGCTCGTGTGTGGCTCGGGATAAATCCTTTCCGTTGACCTGACGGACAAAGCGTAACGGACGATGAGAAGGAAAGCAACGAAACTCTGGCTCTATGAAAATTCTGTATAAAAGTAGTTATAAACGAGAGCTCAAACTGCACATTCTTTTTCACATACGTTACCAAACAGTGCCTTTGGCAAGTTAAATATAAGCCTCTATCATCCCTCCCCGCTCCACCCAAAAAACAAATCGTCAAATAACCTTGGTGATTTCAAACTTACTGTAAACTAACGGTCTTGTAATCAAGGTGACAGATGCAGCTTAAGATACAATAGGCAATAACACAAATAACGGCAGGATTGCACGCAGATAACAAAAATATACTGTAAAGCGAATCGACTATATATTTTGTGGGCGAAAGGCGGCAGCCAATTGCGCACAGCAGCGTCCCCACAAACAGTCGCGGATTGAAGTGAACAAATTATTATTATTATTTTTTGATTTCATTTATTTCATTTCAGGTTATTAGGGAGCAATCTATTTGTCCGGGCCGCGAGGAGGGGAAGCCCTGAGTGTGCAAGAGCAAGTTTACTTTCTGACATTTGTAGGCAACATCAACAACGACTTGCATCTATATAACGGATCTCACGCAGGGTAGAGTCCCAGAGTGCTCGACAGTGGCAGAGTATGAGGCAGGGAGCTTCCTTCAACTGTTTTCTGTCCTAATAATCTCCTAGCGCCTTATCATGTCTTCGAGACGTCTCAAAGGCTTCACAGGATACACTGTAAAGTGAATTAACTGTATCTTTCGAAATGCGGCAGCCAGTTGCGCACACCCACGGAAATTCTCCAGGTGTTTCTCTATTCTCAGCTTCCGTCAGGGTCAAATTCATGAGACGTTTGTCCTCTGGCTGTTATATGACCTAATATACAAAACTAAAAAAAAAAAACCCGACATGAGATAAATCACGCCAGAAAGTCTGAGTGATCTATAAGGTTCTGCTAGCCAGCAGCTTTGTTCAACTGAACAGTCACAAAAACGGTGACGATTAATGTCCATCTAATCTAATCCAGTTAATTGGCTTCCGGTGGCCTCTTGGATACAAGATGCAATTAAAACAATGAGCTTCTCCCGTTTCACCTTTGAAACGGTTCCACTTCAGCAGCTCAAGACCACAAGCTCCGAAAGGTTTGCAATGCGTTCCAGTCCTAACGCTACGGCTGTCAGGAATTTCAGAACAGATAGAGAGACGCGATCGTACCCGTTTTGCCCCGGGACACGGGAGAATCGGGACTTGTTCTCTGCAAACATCACAACGATCAGCCGCTGATACTTTTTTAAAGTTTATGAAAGAACACGGTTAATGACATTAGAGGTTGGTCCCTGAAAACGTTCTTGAGGGACAGCTTTTTGTCGACAAAATACAGAGTCAATCCATATTACAATATATTCTGTGAAGCGCTTTGAGACGTCTCGACGACATGTTAAGGCGCTGTATCAAATGCAAGGATTATTATTAATATTAGATCATAACGTTTGGAGCCGTGGCTGAATCAGTTTGACACCAAAGAGTGTGAATCAGTGTCCTGGAGAGAACTACCTCCGCACAGGGCTTTCTGCAACCAGGCACTGATTTGGTTTGTTCGATCGCCTGATGCTCCAGAGCAGTCCTGAGGGAGCCGCTGGATTATCAGCGGTGTCGCGCTTCAGTTGGGACGTTAAACCGACGTTAGGAGTCTTTGTACCTGTTCAGATGTCATGATTCCCCCGACACAATAGAAAAAGAGAAGGAGAACTTGTCCTGCTGTACTGGCCCACGATCTTCCAGACAAAATTCACTTCCGAATGACCAATTATAACAATAATAAGCCTTGCATTTGATATAGCGCCTTATTGCGTCTTTGAGACGCCTCAAAGCGCTTCACTGTACTGTACTGTAAAGCGTAGTGACTGTGTACCTTGTGGAAGAAACGTGGCAGCCAATTGCAGTAGTGTCCCACAAACAGTCGTGGATTGAGTGACCACATTATTATTATTATTTGTCCGATCACCTGTCTCTCCAGTACAATTGTTTGTGAGACATTGCTGTGCGCGATTTGGCTGCTACGTTCGCTCCCCTACCGCCCCCCCCAAAAAAAAAACCAGTCACTACACTTTACAGTGCATCCTGTCAAGCGCTTTGAGACACCCTATTTACGTGAAAGGCACTGTATCAAACGTAAGGATTAAGGAGTAGTTTTAATTTTATTCTTAATTCTTTCAACAGCTCTGATGTGCTTGCGAGCTCTGCGTAATAACTGACACCTAATTCTTGCCTCCTGATCTGATAAGAATTTGCGCACGGGTTCAATGTAATTTTCACCTTTTTCTGGCAACATCTGATGAAGACTTTAAACGAGCACCCGATTAAATAAATTACTGCCGAAAGCCACAGTGGTTAATTAAATCAATAAGATAGCAAAAAAAAAGTTGACATCATGCCGGGATAAAGTACAACTGATGCTATATTGCCATGGCAAATAATCGTTGCATTTGATACAGCGCATTTCACAACAGGGCATCTCAAAAGTGCTTCACAGGATGGATTGTAAAACGCAGTGACTGTGTGTTTTGCAGGAGAACACGGCAGCAGATTTGCACGCAGCAACGTCCCACAAGCCGCCACGGTGCAAACGTCCGATTTTATTCGGGGGATTGTTGGCTGGGACACCGGGGGAGAGAGAGACAGAGAGGAAAATCCCCTCTCTTTTCAAAGAGTGCCACGGGATCTTTAATTCCACCCGAGCAGGCAGACCCGGGTTATTCTCTCATCTGAAGGACGGAGCCTTTTCGGAGTTTGAATTAGCGTTGCTATTTTTAAACCCTCTCCCAAGTCGACGCATTTCTTTTCCATTTGGTCTCCCCCTGAGCTGCACGTCGTTCTGCAGCGTGTTCCCTCCGTCCTGCGCTGGCTGCTAGCACAGTCTCGCTGAATGCTCCGAAACTGCCTTCCTCGGGGATGCACCTGGCCTTTGCTTGACACCTCCCCACAGTACAGTACGGTAAGGGAATCAGCTCCGCTTCCTTTAACATTCTGTGGTGCCATCTGTTGGGCTCCAACAGACCCTGGCGCCGCGCCAACGCAGGACGCTAACATTTCCCTGGCTTCCGTGGGCAGAACGGTCACAAAACCCTCTCTGTTTCCCGCTGTTCACAGAACCCTCCGACCGCAATGTTTCTAAAAATAAAACCCACTCCTTTATTTTGACGCTCCTTTGGTCCTCCCCACGGGATTTAACGAGGTCAGCGCTCACCGTTTCATTTTTCAGTGGAAAAGTACTCTTGTTTCGGGGAGAAAACAGATTGCGATTGTGAGCCCAATGAAGGTCTTAAATAACGACAAACCTTGCATTTCATACAGCGCCTTTCACACGGGGATGATGCCTGTCAGATACACAGTCGCTGGGCTTTACAGTAAAACACTGGGAACGCTTTGAGATACCCTCCCGAAGTGAAAGGTTCTGTATCAAATGTGAGGATTTTCCACACAATCTCTTGTCCCTTTAAGATCCAGTTTAAACCTTCGTTGTTGATTGCATGACACAATGAGTGGGTTGGAACAATAAATTCAACCTGGGTTACATTCATGTAGGAAACAAACCTTTGCCAAACTTTGGCACTGCGGTTTAGTGAGAGAAAAAGCCTCGACTAGTATTGGGGAGAGAGCTTTCACTGCGCGATAATGTACAGTCAGTTCTTCAGTGTTGAAGATCACTTCACATTCAGATGATGGTTTAATATTGTCCCTCTCGCATGCAGACATACAGCGCTTCACTTTAGTATCACGAACAGCGATACCGAGCCAGTAGTATAACAGCGTGCCAGCACAAATCAGTCTTTCTATTCTAGTGAGAGAACACTGTCAATTACCATTACGATTCCTACACATCACTCTAATTCTACATTGCATTGTTTAGTGTTATAAATTCACAACAATATTGCTATTACTTACCTGGTACATTGTGATTAAACAGTAAAATATTCCATGTTTAAATGGGTTAGTTGTTTTACTTTGCGGATTGGGTCGTATTGGATTGCTCCGGCACGTAATGAAGCTCACTAAACTAATATTTACGATCTAAATAGGTTTGCCATTTTGCGAGAGATTTATAAGGCAGTCTGTAACGATATTAAATGTGGTATGACTGCCTGGCGGAGCAGATGTCACATTGCTTTATGTGGCGCGATCCTTCAGTCTTATATAAAAAATATGACACATATGCTTCACTATTTGTTCCTTTACTGGATGAATTTACCATTGCAGTCAGCCCTCGTTGCTCTGGGGAACAGTTACTGTAGAATAGATCAGCTGTGTACAAGACGAACATCGTGTGTAGCGAGATTGTTTTTCTATTCATCGGCCTGCCTTTCCTGATCTCCAGACAGCCATCAACATCCCTCAAGCTTCTCTTCAAAGCAGGGAGTCAGCAAACCCCTTGTAGCTTAGGTGGAGTCCTGTAGCTTAGAGCTCGCCCCGCAAGCCAGAGGACCTGGGTTCGATTCCCGGGCAAGGCTCACGGCAATGTCCCACAAACAGCCATAAAGTGAGCGACCAACTTTTTTTTTTGGAGTGCGGGGAGGACTGATGGCTGCGACACCGAGGGAGAGAAACTCCCTTCTCTTCTTGAATAGTTTTGGAAGTTGAGATCGAAGCGAATCGCATCAATGCATTCAAGAGAAAACTTGAAGCATACACAATGGTGAGGGAAGGGAAGGGTACACGAGAGGGAATAGGAAGGGTGGGGACTTGTGAGGAGTATAAACAGTGACATAGACTTGTTAAGTCAAATGGCCTGTTTCCAAACTCGATATAAACTTCTATTTTATTTTACGTTTGCACAGAATATTTTCCAGGATCATGGAAAACACTAATCCACTTGAAGAACGAACATTGTACATCAGAAAAAAACTTGCTCTTGGCCACGGACCAGGCTGACGGGTTCAATTTTGAGTGGCAGGTCCCACAAAGAAATGATACCTTATGAGTAAACATTGTTCTTATTAAACTGCTGACATT